CAATTACTATTCGCCGGTTTTGGTCCCAAGAGTGTTTCAGGGGGACAGCTAGAAATCTAATAAGAATGTGGAAGGGGGTTCAAAGGGGGGGCACTTTACCATAATTTGATGTTTTGCCGTTAGGTTTGATATCTCTCGGTCGCCTCGCATCAAACATAACTTCTGATCTAAATCTAGATCTAGATCTCTAGGTCCAAATAAGCGGGGTGGGAACTATCGAAAAGGCGCCCAGTTTCCTTGTTATTCCACACGGACATTGTACTAGAACTAGGCTAGAAGACCTGTGCAATAGTAAAACTGGTAGCGTGTAGACAAAAATAAATAAATAAACAGCACTGTCTAGATCTACTGGTCTAGAATAGTCTAGATGAAGCAATGGTGTGTAGCCCTCAGCTGACTCCAAAACATCTCGGCGGTATACTACACACCACGTGACACATTATTTGCCTTCACTTGCTCAAACTCAAATGATTATGATTATGAGAGAAGAACAAGACTACGTCTGGTCTACTTTTGTGCAAACAACGTCAGAAACAATTGTTCGATCTAATCTAGGTCTAGATCTAGATCTTGATGTTGATGTAGAAATCTAGATCTAGATCTACCCAATATTGATCAGAATAAGACAACGTCATAACAAAAGGAGTCAAATCCTAGGAGGTTTATTAAAAAACTGAGAAAGCTTCCACTCAATTCAGGCAGAACTACAATATTATCATGTAGAAACGATGGCTACTAGATCTACATCTAGATCTAGATTCTAGATCTACATTTAGATCTAGATTCTAGATCTACATTTAGATCTAGATTCTAGATCTACATTTAGATCTAGATTCTAGATCTAGTACTGACGTTTCAAATAGCACGGGAGCTATTCAGAACGCAGCGTTGCAAATAGCGCTGGCCAAAAATTAAAATAAACAGCACCGTCTAGCTACTGGCTAGATGAAACAATGGTGTGTAGCCCTCAGCTGACTCCAACACATCTCGGCGGTATACTACACACCACGTGGCACATTTTTTGCCTTCACTTTCAAAATGAAGGGGCGGGCGAATGGTAAACAAGAGAAAACACACAAAAGTAATTTTACTTGGTAATCCGGTATTAAATTGCGTTCCCCGCGTGAATTTTAACTAATTTCGGGTCGCTGATCACGAAAATCTTATTATTGTTTTGATTTGACGAATATTTAGGAAATTTTTGGAATGTATTTTCAACTCCGCCTGGGGTAACATCAAAGAAGCCGCTCCCTCGTCATCACTCCTTCAGTTCGCCGGCCGGCAAATATCTGGTGGTTGGACAGAGAACCCTTCAATATCAAGAGAATTGCTCAGTTTTCACGTGAAATTGACAAGATTCCGGCCATCCTCTCGATATCCTACAGTTTGTCGATCAGCGAACTGTACGTCTAAATGGGGCTTTAGCGCTTAACAATTAATCTAATACTATACTATTACCCCAGCAGACCTGAGCCAATTCTGAAACTATCTCAACTTCCTGAGAAGCATACAGTGCAAGCTTCTATTTATAGGCGCTAAAACACTAACATACTGACATGATCTTTCGCTGTCTACAGCCGGGTACCCATTCACACCTGGGTGAAGTGAGAAAAATTCGTGTAAAGTGCCTTTCCCAAGCACACAAAGTCGGGCCCGCGGCTCGAACCCCCGAACTCACAACCTCACGATTACCGGTAGCCTAACCACTAGGCCACACATAAACAAGTGACGTCATCGTTTACCACATTTTTTAACGTTTTAATCGAAATTTTAATCTAAGCCAAGCCATGCTATGAATTGTAGTGTATGAAACTCAACTAACTAGTGTGTCGCGCCCTTATATAACCTGTTTATGCAGTTGCGAGCGCCGTAAAAGTCTTACTAAACTATCTAGTACAAACAAACATATGACGCCATGGTGCTCACAAATCAGATGATGTCATCTTACATACTCACAGATGACGTCATCTCTATCTATCTATCTATCTATCTATCTATCTATCTATCTATCTATCTATCTATCTATCTATCTATCTATTTAGCTAGCTAGCTATCTATCTATCTATCTATCTATCTATCTATCTATCTATCTAACTCAGCCATGTTTATCCATTACACATGCTGGCAGTTGTATTTGTTCGTCTGTCTGACTTTTCCAGGCATTAAATGGCATCTATTGTGTCAATTTACTTCAAAGTATTCAAACATACAAAACAAACATTATGAAACAAATAATATTATTTCATTGATGGTTGCCTGTTCCATGTGTACATGTACTTTTGAACACTCCGAAGCAAAATGAACGAGTATTTGTAAATGTAAATGAACCAATGTCACTTTTTTGGTGTTTTTTTTGTTTGTTGGTTGTTGTTGTTGTTGTTTTTTTGTTGTTTTTTTTTTTGGGGGGGGGGGCTGGTTTGGTTTTGCTTGGTTTTTAATTTTGGCAATGTTTTTTTTCTCTCTTTTCATCAGCCACATTGGCCGAGGACAACGCAAGACTGAGAACAGAGGTACAGGGCCATGATGGTGAGTGCATTCAAAAACAAATTGTGGGATTTATTTTCCTATCGACACTTTTTGGTTACTTCTTAATTAAGAGGTGGGTCCTCTGAATTAAGCGGCCGTCTTAAATTGGATTAAGCCAAATAACATCAATTAATGAATTAGTAATAATAATAATAATAATAATAATAATAATAA